TCGTATTCGACCACTTCTTCAACCAGGATGCAGATCCGAGGTTGCGACACGACAGCTTCGGTAGCGAAGCTGTTATCTCCTACTGTGATCGCCAGTTTGTTTTCGTCGAAAATTGTTTTCTTCATTGTATAACTCATTACAACTTTGGTCGTTACAACGAGTTTAAAAAGATCGGTCTTTTTATAAGACCTTTACACAATGAAAATAAAACTTACAACTCTCATTCAAAACTAATGCAGGGAGATCATTTATCGGTCTTCTGCTTGTGCAGGATCTTTGCCTGTACCGGGGTTTATCCATGGACCGCATTAGATCTGGATCCGGTTGATAGAAAATTGGGTAGAGCTTCGCTTTCACCGAGTGAGTGTTTGATTTGAAGCGCTGAAATCGACCAAGCGAAATCAGGGCTCTTCTTGAGATTAAGACCAAGCCTAATCTCGAGGAACAGACGGGCGGGGTTCAGATCCTTCGAATAGCTCCTTCTTTATGCCGAAGTTCGCTGGGATCTGATCTGCCTTCACTAAAATTCATCCTCCTTGACTCCTCAATCCAACAGAACCTCTGCGTTTTGATAATAAATCGCCCCCCGTGAAATGAGCCCCTAGGCCTATATTTATAGGCTTCGGTTGGGAGGTTTTCAGATAAGAATGAATGATTCCTCCTTACATTCAGTTAATAACTGATTAACAACATTTGGGGATGATATCAGATCAGTTTGGATGCTCAAAAATGAACAAATCCTAAGAAAACCGTCAAAAACCGAACAGGGGTCGAAACACGCGCGGGGGCGAATTTGACCCGCAGGGGGTGTGGGTTGATTTCAACCGACCCGTGGGTGCGCGGGTCGTTTGAATCCGACCCCCCCGACGGGTCAGTTCCGTCTGATTCCGCACTTGCGTGGGAAGTCTAGCTTTTTTGCTTTATTTTCTGACTTTTCGGGAGTTGTATTTTCCGCCGCTTTACGTAATTGATCATTTTGTTGACTTGTACGCTTCGTTGCGAGACTGTCCATCGAACGCGCGTTGGTTGACGTGCACTTGTTTTATTGATGCACACGACCTGATTGACGCGCATGTGTTGACTGACGCGCGCGAACTGATTAACGAGCGCGTGTTGACCGATGTGCATGAACTGATTAACGAGCGCGTGTTGACCGACGCGCACGAACTGATTGACACGCGCATGTTGACCGACGTGCACGAACTGATTAACGCGTATGTGTTGACTGACGCACGTGAGCTGATTGACGCATGCGTGTTGATCGACGCACGTGAGCTGATTAACGAGCGCGTGTTGACCGACATGTGCGAGCTGATTGATACGCGCGTGTTGACCGACGTGTGCGGGCTGATTGATACGCACGGGTCACTTGGTTCGTCGTTTCGCTTCATGCGCTTGTCGACGACAGATAATCCTCTTAGACTCGGATAACGACGTTCGTTATCTTCTTTGCATCTCGAGCTGTGTACGGACACCTATAGGTATTTTTAGACACCTACAAGAACGAGTGCCCAAAGTTGAAGGACAAAGCCGGGAAGAACAAGGGAAAAGCTGTACAGGCTTCAAAGGTGAATGTTGCTAAAGCTGTTAGCAACCATTCAGATTCATATTCTTCAGGCTATTCATGCCCTGCACTACCGTCAGTTTGCTATGCCGACTTTACGGAGTGGATGTTCAATTTGAAAGGTACATTTCATATTTATCCTAGGAGGGATTGGTTCTTCAGCTTTGAAGAGTTGGAAAGAGAGGATGTCGTACTTATGGGTAATAATCACGTATGTCTTATTTGTAAAATTGGTACAGTCCGGATCAGGATGCATGACAGGGTGACTAGGGAGTTGAAAGAAGTGAGTTTCGTGCCACAGTTGACGAAGCACATCATTTCTCTTGGTACTTTAGAGGTAGCAGGTTATTGGGTGATATTAGAGGATGCTACTGTGAAGGTCATGAAGGGTTCTATAATGGTGATGCGAGATGTCAGGGAAAATAACCTATACTACTTGAAGGACAAGACAGTTACAGGAGATCTGGTAGCTTCTATCACTAAAGAGGAGGACACTACCAGTTTATGGTACATACTGAATGTGCCCTATAGGGGGTGAATAGGGTTATTGCTAATCTTATTAGATATTAATGCTGATTAAAACATATTAATAAATTATTCTTGCAAGATAGATATACAATGTGATATATATAAGGATAAGCAAAAACAAATGTGATAGGGTAATATAAACAATGAGTAATGGCGAATAAAATAGACTAAGCAATAGACACAAATGATAACGTCAATGCAAACTCTAACACACAAAGATGATCACGAAGTTCGGACCTTCCGTCCTACGTCTTCGCTCCCCACTCCCGAGAAGAAATCCAGTATCACAATTTGGTTTTCTACGCTCACCTGAATAACATTTACACCTAACAATTCGGTTTTCTAGTTCACCGAAAACATTATAACTACACACTTGTAATCTCACTATACACCTTCTAAGTGTTGGTCTCTAGCCCGTGTCTCCCTCAAGTGTTCGGATTTACAACCTCTACCTAGGCTTTACTATCGACGCCATTCCTCTTGGGACGACCCCGTCTCTTACCACACACTCCTCTCGGTGTACAAGTGTGATACAACATGTAACTCACAATAAAGCTCAAATACAAGAATTTGTTCTCTAATAATGAATGAGAATACAATGAAGCTCACTCTCACTAAAACACAATCCCACAACCCAATATATGATATATGAAATACTAAAAGCTCAAATAGGATGTGTGTGATAAAATGAGTATAATTAAAATCTAACTCAATTAGCAAACTAGCAATAATAAGAATATGAAAATTAATAATAAAATTGCTAGAAAAAATAGTTAGAAAAACTTATCAATAAACACAAAGAGGTCGAAGAAGATTGAGGATGAATTCCACAATTAAAAATGCAAGCCTCCTCTTTGTAAACTCAAACATAGAAATTTAAAAAACTTTAAAACACTTTTAAACTCCTCTTTAAAACCCTCTTCAAAAAACTTAATTCTGATGAGAACAATAGGGGTTTATATAGGAAGAAAAACCAAGGCACAAAATCCAAACAAATCTAGCAAAAAGATAAAAAAACAGAAGGTTGGAAAAACTAACCGTTGGGCCATCAGTCGACTGACGAGTTTCATTAGTCAACTGATGAGCTAACCGTTGTAGGCATTTTCCAGCTCATTAGTTGACTAACGACCTTTATCAGTCGACTGATGGATCATCAGTCGACTAGTCAGTCGACCAAAATAAAATAGAAATTTTTGACTATTCCAGGTGTTTTCTTCAGTGGACTGAACACATTCATCAGTCGACTGATAACATGATATCAGCCTGTTTTGAATAGTAAAAACCAACTTTCAAGAGCCTTAAAAAATAGTAAATAAATTCTAAAAAATATAAAACTTTAGAAAAAGTTTATAAACATGAATATGAACATGTTGGAAAATGAATTTTTAAATTGCTCTTATCATTTGTGAAAACTCAGAAATATTCAAAAGTGCTAAAATACATGTTTTTCAAATATGTTGTTTTTGCCATTTTAGCTCAAATCAAGTTCTGAAAACTTGTGTAATCATTTTATGGACAAGGAAAAAAGATGTTTAACATGGTTTGTATAGTTCAAAACATATTTGAATGTATTTTGCATAAAAACACCTATTTTCATGAAAATTCACAAATGTAATGTGTGTGTATATTTGAGCTTATAGAATTAATACACATTATATAAACCTTAAACTAATTTACCCAAGCTTGATAGATCTTCATTGTAGCTTGTCTTGGTAAACATAGAAGAAGCTTGAACTTGGATCTTGACTAGTATGCATAGGTTTCATTCCACTATTCTGCCAATCATCCATTTGATGTGATCGTGAAGGCTCAATCCATCCAACCTCCAACATATTGTTTGTCTAGAATACCTAATATGTGATCGTGAAGGCTCAATCCATCCAACCTCCAACATATTGTTTGTCTAGAATACCTAATAAGAAAATATAAACACTAGACAAATACCTCCAACATATTGTTTGTCTAGAATACCTAATAAGAAAATATAAACACTAGACAAATAATATTAGAAGATGTAGGCTCATAATATGAGACCTAACACATACGTTTAGGACACACTGGTGATAAGTCCCTACAGACATTGACGAAACATGGGCTATTGAAAGGTATGAAAACCTGCAAGATGAAGTTGTGTGAACATTGTGTACTTAGGAAGAAGACTAGAGTGAAGTTTGGCACCGCTATTTATAACACCCAATGTATATTGGATTATATTCACACAGATGTTTGGGGCCCTTCCAAGTTGTGCATCCTTTGAGGGAGAATTTGTGAGCTTTGTTTGAGGGTTTTTGGTGAGATTGTAAAACCTATTTATATTCTCTTTATCTCAAATAGTAAAAATTCCCCCCTCCTTGCCCCGTGGATGTAGGCAACTTATCAAAACCATGTAAAATTTGTTGTCTTGCTGTGGTGATTGTGTTTTACTTATTGGTTGTGATCTATCTCGCTCTTGCTCTGCACTCTTTGGGTTTCGAGTTCCACTGTGCATAACAATATCATCATCCAAATAGTCAAATATCAATATTATATAGAGAAATACCTGATCGTAGATTGTTAAATACTTCCTTTTAAACTATATTTTTAGTTAGTACTTTAAATTTAGGATCAGCATTTTCAATAACCACATTTAATCTTACAGCAGATGTAACTTGAGATATAGCGACATAACGTTATGCTAAAAGGTAACCTTATCCGTGTGCACATATATCTGTAGAAAACATGGGAAATGGGGATGAAGGTGCAAAAATAACATCTGAGATCATTTATATAATGTATCTGTCTCACTTAGGCACTCTGAAGGACTTTAATCCAAAAATATCCATGAAAAGAATAATCGAGCAGTTTCTCTCTTACATGTCCTATCTGATATCTTTGCACATATGCACAATTTTCTGAGTTACTAGAATAAAATGAATCAAATTTCATTCCTCTTTTTTCAGTTCTTCGCATCGAATGGTTTCCCATGTCCGGCCCTGACGCACTCTTCTGATCATTACCTCAAGACAATTAACAAGGATTTTGACAAGGTTTGTAACATTTTTTTCTTTCAATTTTGATAAATCTATTGGACTTGTCTGAATCTCATGTCCATTTTATTATTTTCTCAAGGATATGGAAGAAGGCATTGATGCTAAAACGATAACTACTGCTGAAGCAATTAAAACCCTTGTGAAGTCTTATAGAGCTTCAGTTAATTCACAGGTCGTGATGCAGCAGATAGCGGAGATACATGAAATGGTAATTCGTACATTTTAGTTACATTATAAGCTATAACCATCAGGATTACTTCTTCTAGAATTTAAAAATAAATTTTCGTATCGTGATTTTTTTGTAGGGAGGTATGGTGAAAAAAGGAAATCAAGCTAGCCCCTTAATCCAATCCATTGTCCTCACAAGAACATCATTTGTTAATATGTATAGAGACCTTGGTTACTATTGGCTGCGCTTAGCAATTTACATAGTACTCTGTCTTTGTGTTGGAACAATTTACCATGACATTGGTCATAGCTATAGATAAATTCAGGTTTGTATAATAAATCTTTATGAACGGTTAAATTGAATAACTCTGTAATATCGCAAGACAAACTTTTATGTAATAATGTTTGCATCTGCTTCGCTTTCTAGCATATCATCCCAGGGCAAGCAAGCTGCAATATCATAGGTCCTAACCCACTTGTTTTGAATAACATGATCGCTTCCTGCAGAGGTTCTTGTAATGTTGTATAGGTGAGAATGGCAATGGATAATGAAGATTCAAGCCATTCTTTTGGAGAGAAGACAATCGGGTATGTGAATCTTCTATATTTCCTGTACCGGTGGTCTTTCTTTATTTTCCATCTTGTTATTATTTTTCCTGCTATGTACATTTATACAAGCAAATCTGTATGCTTTTGAAGACCGTCGGGTATCTTTTTTTTTTATTTGCCAAACTACCCCAATGGTTGAAACCGTTGGGGCAAATATTTGCCCCAACGGTTCCAACTGTTGGGGCAAATATTTTTCTTTTTTTTAAAAAAAAGAAAAATATTTGCCCCAACGGTTAGAACCGTTGGGGCAAACTTGGCAACCGTTGGGGCTAACCCAGCCCCAACGCAGTTTGTCCCAACGGTCTTTTTTTTAGCCCCAACGGTTCTAACCGTTGGGGTCATGATTTGCCCCCAACAGTTTCAACCGTTGGGGCAGCCCTGCTTTGTACTAGTGATACAACTGACTATGAGTAAGCACTAGAGATGGTAAAAACAACCCTGCATGCTTCAGACTTTGTGCTTGACTTTTGTTGATTCTCATAGAAAATCGAGCAGCAATTAAAAATTGCCTCTGATTCATTATGAAGGACAAAATACTATCAGATGGTGTCATAACAATCCTAGGTATAAAATGTCTTGACACCACATTTTCCCCCCTAATTATTTTAGCTTATATAACCCATTTTAACAATTGTTTGATGTGTTTCTACATATATTATCAGAGATTTTAGGTATGTTGAATACTCTCCCGGTAATTTATCAACCATCATAGAATTATATTGCATCAAATGTTTCATTTCTAGGGCTGAGGATTGCTCTTTCCTAAAAGTACTCCACTTTCTTGAAATTTTCTATCAAGTTAGGGTATGTAAATTTAATAATAGAAATAATTGCATTTGGCACGGGATCTATCAGAAACTGTTCCGACATTTGTATCCATTCGATTTCTTCTTCATCATCGCATATAATTTTTTTTGGAGTATCACCATTACCTATATTTATAAATAAAAAGATATCAACTCTACTTAGAAATTTAACCATTAACTATTTTTAGAAGTAAATGAAAGATATTGGTGTTATGAAATAATGTGGATGTCCATTTAGTTTCCCAAGAAATTGATATTCCCCTAGTACATTAATCTTCTTCCTAGAATAACACAATGCATGTTCTTGAAAGACTAAGTTCATGAATGAGTAATTAATATGATTCATGTATCATCATCTTATTTTGTATATAAATAGAGGTATTTCTACCTCACTTTGTGCATAGCAATAAAGAACAAATGAAATAAAATTTCTCTCTACTTCTCATCTACATTTTCTTCTCTACTTGATTAGTTTTATAACACGTTATCAGCACGAGACTCTACCATTAAAACAATCTTCTTCAAGTCTTTTAGATTCATCGTTGGGCACGTGTTGATATTTTGGATAAACTTTCGAGGTAAAATTTCTCTTTCCAATATTTATTTTTCACTATGACTAACCTTACAAAATAAGAATTTATGCTGCTTGATATTTCTAGAAAGAACTACTTATCTTGGATGTTAGATGTTGAAATACATCTTACTACAAAAGGTCTTGAAATTACTATTGTGGAAGAAAATAAGACAACAAATCAAAACCGTGCCAAAGCTATGATTTTCCTTCGCCATCATTTGGATGAAGTATTAAAAACTGAATATCTAATTGTAAAAGATCCACTTACTACGTGGAATAATTTGAAGGATAGATTTGACCACCTGAAGTTGGTCGTGCTTCCAAAAGCCCGGTGTGACTGGATTTACTTAAGGATATAAGATTTTAAATCAATCAGTGAGTATAATTCTACAATGTATAAAATTACCTCTCAATTACAATTGTATGGAGAAAATATCACTGATGACGATATGTTTAAAAAAAACATTATCCACCTTTCATGCCTCGAATATGCTCCTGCACCAGCAATATCGAGAGAGAGGATTTAAGAAATACTCTGAATTGATTTCATGCCTCCTTTTGGCTAAACAAATATCGAGAGAGAGGATTTAAGAAATACTCTGAATTGATTTCATGCCTCCTTTTGGCTAAACAAAATAATAAATTATTATTAAAAAATTAAGAAATACTCTGAATTGATTTCATGCCTCCTTTTGGCTAAACAAAATAATAAATTATTATTAAAAAATCATGAATCTTGATCTACTGGTTCTAGTCCATTCCATGAAGCGAATGCAACTAAATCTCAAAATCAAGGTTGTGGCAGATATGTGCTTTATAATCACATTGATCATAGTCGTGGCAGAAGACAAAACAACTCTCAGAAATAGGACAATAATGATAAGAAAAGTAAAGAAAAGAAACATTATGAGGAAATATGCTACCGGTGTGGAATAGAAGGTCATTGGTCCCGTACCTGTCGTACGGCAAAACATCTTGTTGACCTCTATCAGGCATCAATAAAAGGGAAAGGCAAGAATGCCGAGACAAATTTCATATATTTATGATGATCTTGATGATATCACACACCTCGATGTAGCTGATTTCCTTGAGCAACCTAAAGTTGTGAAATGATCCCATGATAAATACCTGACATTTTGAATTTTGTTATTTTCGCATCTTTTATGTAATTTTCTTTATGAATTTTGATATTTACTTTTGTTTGTAATTTTCTTTGTCATTTCTTCCTGAAGAAGAAATAGATACCAAACATTTGGGATCAAACAATGATGATGATAATACTTGTCTCATTGATAGTGCTACTACACACACTATACTTAAAAACATAAAGTATTTTTCTCATTTGAAAATAGAAGAAACAAATGTTAACACAATAAGTGGTAGTGCTAAATTGATTGATGGCTCCGAAAGAGCCACTGTATTTCTCCCCGAAGGAACTAAAATTATCATAAATAATACACTATACTCGATAAAGTCTCAGAGAAATTTGCTAAGTTTTAAAGATATCCGTCGAAATGGATATCATATCGAGACGATGAATGAGACAAATGGTGAATACTTAATTGATTACAAATATCATTTTTAAGAAGAAATGCGTATTAGAAAAAGCTGCCTTCTCTATCTTCTGGTTTATATTATATAAAAATAAGTACAGCTGAAATATATCACCTTGAAGACCAGAAGTCTACTAATCCCAATGATTTTATGATTTGGCATGATCGTCTTAGACATCCTGGTTCTATAATGATGAGGCGAATAATTACAAATTCACATAACCATTCATTAAAAAATAAAAAAATACTAAATTCTAATGAATTCTCATGTGTTGCTTGCTCCCAAGGGAAGTTAATTGTTAGACCATCACCAACAAATGTGGGAACTGAATCCCTTGCATTTTTAGAACGAATTCATGGTAATATATGTGGGCGTGTAGATCTACCATGTGGACCATTTAGATATTTTATGGTGCTAATTAATGCTTCAACAAGATGGTCACATGTATGTTTGTTATCTAGTCGCAACCTGACGTTTACGAGATTGCTTGCTTAGATAATTAAATTGCGAGCATAATTTCCTGATTATTCTATTAAGAAAATTCGTTTAGATAATGCTAGTGAATATTGATCACATGCTTTTGATGATTATTGCATATCTATTGAACAATCTGTAACTCATGTTCATACACAAAATGGTCTAGTCGAATCATTTATTAAACGGCTTCAATTAATTGCAAAACTATTGTTAATAAGGTCTAAACTTCCTTTATCTGCTTGGTGACATGCTATATTACATGCAACAACACTTGTGAGAATTAGGCCGACAAGTTATCATATTTATTCTCCCTTACAATTAGTTTTTGGTCACGAGCCCTATATTTCTTATTTAAGAATTTTTGGTTGTGCGATATATGTTTCTATTGCACCGCCTCAACGTACTAAAATGGATCCTCAAAGAAGATTGGGGATATATGTCGGGTATGAATCCTATTGCACCGCCTCAACGTACTAAAATGGATCCTCAAAGAAGATTGGGGATATATGTCGGGTATGAATCACCTTCTATAATTAAATATGTTGAACCCCTCAAAGAAGATTGGGGATATATGTCGGGTATGAATCACCTTCTATAATTAAATATGTTGAACCATTAGCAGGTGATTTATTTACTGTAAGATTTGCAAATTATCACTTTGATGAATCACATTTCCCGACATTAGGGGAGGTAAAGATCAACCAAAAAAGGAAATTACTTGGAAAATACCATTACACTTTCTTAATACTCGTACAAAAAAATGAACTGGAAGCTCAAAGGATTATACATTTACAAAAAATTGCAAACCAATTACCAGATGTTTTTAGTGATTCTAGAAAAATTACTAAATCGCATATTCCAGTAGAAAATGCTCCGATTAAAATTAATATCCCAGAAGGATAAATTAAAAGTGCTAACGAATCTAAAGCACGCCTGAAGCGTGGTAGACCTCTTGGTTCCAAAGATAAGAATCCTCGAAAGAAAAGAGGATCGAATGATCAAAATATTGCTAATGAAAAAATTCAACCTCCTGAAGAGGTCGCTCCTGAAGAGCCAACTCCTGAAGAAAATAAAACTTCAATAAGAGTTGGAACCGAAGAGAAGTAATTATCGATAATACATTTGCATATAATACAACACTTGATATTATGAAAGAAGACGAGGATCATGAACCCAGATCAGTTGATGAATGTCGACAAAGAAATGATTGGTCAAAATAGAAAGATGTAATCCAATCTAAATTAGATTCACTAGCTAAACGAAAAGTTTTTGGATCTGTAGTCCAAATACCTGAAGGTGTAAAGCCAACATGATATAAATGAGTATTTGTAAGGAAAAGAAATAAGGAAAATAAAATTATGAGATATTAAGCAAGACTTGCAGCCCAAGGATTTTCACAAAGACCGGGATTTGATTATGATGAGA